AAAATCTTATGTTCAATTGGTTGCCAAGAGTGGAGAAGGCTGCTCTATCACCATAACATCTGAGTGCCTCTCAGGCATTTAGCCTTGCGCCCCTCCTGGAAGGTAAAGGAATTGTCCCCATTGTTCAGATGGGAACAGCAAGGCCCAGAGGCAGTGACTTGCCCAAGGTTACGAAGGAGGCCGGTGGCATAGCAGGGATTGAACTCAGTCTTGCTGAGTCCTAGTGCAGTGGCTAAGCCACAAGGCCACTTCTCATCTCACCCACGTGTTTCTGGATAGAAGCAAGTGGATGCGAGTGGGCGGGGGAAGGCGGAAATGTTTTCCGATATAGGCCAGTCAGGCAGTGACCTCGGCAAAGACTGGCCAATGCGCCGCTCCCACAGGCAGATCGTATCCGAGGAGTCTGGCTGGGAGGGGAGGTGGTTCAGTCAATCTGCATGGCGTATTGCTCAAGGAGGTCATACAAGCTGTTGAAGGAGCTGGACATCTGGAGGCTCAGGTTCCCACTGTTGAGGGACGAGGCACCCTCCTTCAGCACCGCTTCATAGAAATATTCACAGAACTTGGGCACCAGCTGCAGGAGGAACATATATCCCTTAGGAGGCGCGCCAGGGCACGGTCACATCAGTCAATCTGCATGGCGTATTGCTCAAGGAGGTCATACAAGCTGTTGAAGGAGCTGGACATCTGGAGGCTCAGGTTCCCACTGTTGAGGGACGAGGCACCCTCCTTCAGCACCGCTTCATAGAAATATTCACAGAACTTGGGCACCAGCTGCAGGAGGAACATATATCCCTTAGGAGGCGCGCCAGGGCACGGTCACATGGCTAGCGCTGTCTAAGGGCATCTCTCAGCTAAGTCTGGCAGCCCGATTCAGCCCTGCGCTGGCTACCCCGTCCTGTGTCACACTTTGCAGACACACAGAACGGCCAGGGGGTGGTCTAGGGATGTAAGCAAGTAGTCAAGTATTCAACTACCCAGTAAGCCTATGCTCACTGGGGTGTCAAGTCCGTCTACTCGCTCCCCCACTCCCCGCTTGTACAGAGGCAGCGGTGGGGGAAAACAGGAGCCAGTGCTGGAAGGAGCTAGCTTAAAAGCTGGCTCTTCCCAGTGCCACCTGGACTGCTGCCTCTATCAGAGGCAGTCAGGGGGCGGGGTAGGGGGAGGCTGCCGTGAAGCAGCGTCTGGCTGTGAAAGGCCAGGGCTCACTGTGGGCACAGCCTGCTCTCGTGACAGCCTGGGCTGGCCGTGGGCAGGGGCTGCTGGACCCAGCTCGCACTGGTCCAGGACTGCTACGCCTCTGCATTTTAAATCCAGTAAGAGCCGGGCAGCTCTGACTACATTCACAACAGAGAGCGGCAGCAGTCCTGGCTCTGTCCCGGCTCTCGCTGGTCTGGGACGTACCCCCACTGTGGCTCTGCAGTGTGAACGTCGTAGGAGTCGAGCTGCCTGTGCACCCGGCTCCTACTATGTTTAAACTGCAGAGCTGCAGCAGCAGTAGCTTCTGGACCGGCGCGAGCTGGGACTGCGCGCCTTCCCTTATCGACTAATCGTGTAGTCAATACAAATTATATCGACTATACGATGTGTCAGTTGCCTGCCTCTTAACATCCTTAGCATCATCGGCCTTGCCACAGCCACTCTGTGCCTGGCCCACCTCTTCCTTCCTTCAGCTTGCACTCTGCAGCCCGGGGGCTGGGAAAGCAGCATCGGGCTGGCTCTGTGCCCAGACTGGCGGGGGTTTTCTGTACTGGGGCTATTTCACAGAAGGCCCTTAGGCCTCAGCTGTTGCCCTGCTGGATCAGTCTAGGTTCTTATCTTGGTCCCCCCCACAGTAGTGTCAGAGTGCCAAGCTGAATGCGTTCCTCTGCCTCTGACAGCGGCTCAGCTGCCCTGGGGCAGCCATTGCCAGGGCTCACTGGAGGGGAATCGGGGCTGTCAAAGGGGACCAAGAACTAAGCTAGGCAGAGATGCTTAGTTGCTCTTCCAGGCCTGTGCAGCGGTGGGACAGAGGACCATTCCCCACTTGTGGTGTGGCTAGGAGGTTCAGTGGGTGGGGAAAATCTCTCCCCCTGCTGATTACCCAGGAACCTCGCCTCAAGCACTCCCCAGCTACACCAACCCATGGCCTTGCCGTGCAGGGGTGGGGTGCAGTCTCCTAGCAGACGGTCGTTACCACTGAAGTCAGTGAAGCTGGCCGTCAGCGACTGACCATCCCGCCAGAGACTAATGACGCTTGGCTTTGATCTCAATGCTTCCGGCTCACCTTTACGAGGATTAACAGGGTCTCCTTGGGCTTGGATTTGGAGAAGCACTGCCCAAAGCAAAGGTAGATGGTGAAGTCGGGAGATGCAGCCCTTTGTTGCTTCTTAAAATCCAACAGCTCTGCAAAAGGAACAGGCTGGTTTCAGCAGCGTGGGGACAGGGCGGGCAGGCATTGGGCTTGCTGGACTAAATGCACTACCCTGGGATGTTTAGGAGATGGCGGCCATGAGAGGAACTTTCTGGGGCTCCTTCACCCTTGCTCGTGGCCTTGGCTCTCCAAAGTGCTGAGGCAAAACTTGGGAGTCCAGTGCTTATGCAATCTGGTGGCTCATGATCAGGCTGCATGCCTCCACCAGATGGAGCCCCGTTGTACAAGCACATGGTAAATAATGTCCCTTGGCATTTTCTCAGCTAATGTAACCACTGCCTGCGAATCTGGCCCCATGGAGTCAGGGCCCTGGCCCCATGGAGTCAGGGCGTTGGCCCCGGGTGCAGCCTCACCTTGTAAGAACACGTCATAGTCGAATATCTCAGTCTCCATGTCACGGGGCAGCGGCTTGAATTCGGGGTTCTGAGCCAGGATGGCTAGCTGCCTGGAGAGGGCCCAGAAGACCTTGCATTTATTCAGGCGCTTGGCATAGATCTTCTTATGCTTCTGCTCCAGCAGCAGCCCTATGTTCTGAAGCAGCTGCCTGGTGAACCGGACCTGCTTCTGGTCGGGCAACTCATCGGGGCTTGGGAAGTGGACCACTTGCGCACAGCCCGGGACTACGGTAGGGTCTTCATTGTTGTACGTGAACAGGCAGCTGCGTGTGGCCACCTGCACCTGGTGAAGCGACTTCCCTCGGTAATAGACGGTGACGTCCATGTGGGGAAAAAAGGGGTCTGCAAGAGATGAGGGAAGGCTTGGACTCTAGAGGGGGGGACCAGCAGGCGCTGTGCTCTCTGGTTCCTAACAGGCTGCTCTCCAAGGCCCCGATCTAAAGAAGTCAGTGAAAACGCTTCCACGGATGGACCTCAACGGGTGCTGGATTAGCCTCTGACATGCTAAGTCCAAAGTCCCCCCCATTGGGAGTCCGCTGCCGTTCCACTGCGACTGCTGGAGTGCTAGGATGCCCTGCCACCCCTGCAGCTGGTGCCCGCTTTTGAAGAGAGCCAGGCCCTGTGAACCTCAAAGAACGCTCTCGATCCACCTCCAGAAGCAGAGATGGGGCTGCTGAGATGTGGATAGGGTGTAGGGATGTTAAATATCGGTTAATTGAATAGTCGATTAACCTCACGAATTCCTACTGGTTACTTGACTATTCTATAGTCCCTGGGGTGGGGCTGGCAACCAGTGCACTCCGGCCCCACTCCCGAGGAGCACCCTGCCACTCCACGCTGCTGCCTCTGTATCAGAGGCAGCAGCATGGGGTGCCAGGTGGGAGCTGGCCCATGAGGGGATCCAGTTTAAAAACCAGCTCCCCGTATCGACCAGCTGCTTGTCACCCTGCGCTGCTGTACTCAGCATGAGCCGAGCTGCCTGCCTGGCTCCTAATACACTTTAAATGCAGAGCCACAGCGGGGGTGGGTCCTGAACCCAGCACAAGCCAGAACTGATCCGGGCTGCTAAAAAATGTACGGGGCAGGGGAGAATGCAGGTAGTCGATAGCATTAACCTATAAGCTTTTGCTTATCAGTTAATTGGTTAAACGACTACACTACTACATCCCTGTGGAGGTGTCTATTTCACACCTGAAGCAGAGAGGTGTGAACCTGCGTCAGAAGAGAAGAGGGCCCTCTAATGTAGGGTCGAGGTGAGTCTTCAGGACCAACAGTTGCATTTTCTTAAAAGCACTGCCTTGGCTGCCTCGGTTCTCTTGAAGAGGAGAGCAGCGGGGGGAGCAATGTGCTTGGGGCAGGCAGCTACCATGGCATCACTGACCTGTATTGTTCTGCAGCGGGGCTGGGCTGGGCGAAGGAATCGGCTGTTCTGGGAGAGGAGCAGCGGGATGGGTGAACCTGTTCTGTTCCATCACTGTTGGGGCTGCCCACTGACTCGCTGGCTGCTGAAACCGTTGGGCGTTTGATAGATCACTGCGTTTCCTGCAGGCGCTTCATGCAGGAACGTGCTTTGAATGTCCATGTGGTTATCATAGCGAGGGCTCCCCTCAAACAGGGCTTCTGCTGTGAGGGAGAACAATGGGCTTGTGAGATGGCTAGGCCATAGCAAAGGCATTAATTTCTGCTCAGATCAGCTCTTCTCGCATACTCTGCTCCATGTGTCTAACTGGCCCTTGAGTTCATCCCACTCAACATGGTGTGGTCTTCCAGGCTGTCCCATACCTGCGACCCACTACTGGCTACAGACCTGATTCAATGCTCACTGATATCAATGGGAATCTTCCAGGTCTAGGAATACTTCCACTGACTTTAGTAATGTGGGACCAGCCCTCAAATCACTCACTCTTCTCAAACCCCCCTACCCCCCGGCCGAAAACCCCTGCTTGGACTCTGTTGTCCACAATTGTTTTTACATTTAAAGAGAAGAAAACATAGTTCTGCACGAACAGCACCACAGCTCAGTTCTGCTTTTGCAGCCTTCGTGTTACGAAGGCTGCAAGCTCTTTGAGACAGTGAGTGTCTCCCCACCGCACATCCCCTGCTGTTGCAATATGAATAACTATAAGGGATCGAGGGATCTTTTAGATCTAGCAAAGAGCCAGTGAGGGGCTAACTGGGAGCAGAGCTCTTTTGGAGAACCAGCTTCATGTATGGGATCAGTTGGCAATTATTTTTACCTTCGTGTTACGAAGGCTGCAAGCTCTTTGAGACAGTGAGTGTCTCCCCACCGCACATCCCCTGCTGTTGCAATATGAATAACTATAAGGGATCGAGGGATCTTTTAGATCTAGCAAAGAGCCAGTGAGGGGCTAACTGGGAGCAGAGCTCTTTTGGAGAACCAGCTTCATGTATGGGATCAGTTGGCAATTATTTTTAAGCATTTTTCGATTTAAGTTCTCACAGCAGAGGTGGGGGGGGGGGGGGGGGTGGAGGTTGGGCAGCAGGGGAGGCCAGATTTCAAAAAGCTAAAGCTTCATAACTGTTAGAACCTATATATTCGATATCATGGGTCAAAACAGACACAGGCCATAACTCTAAGCCAAATTCTAGTAGGTTAGTAGGCAGAGTTATAAAAAAAAAAAATGCTGCTTATCTGCACATTTCATTTTGTAAAGATGGAACTTTTATTCATCGGTGGGGTGTGCGCATGGAATAGACCTTGACTGATTAAAAATCGAACCCGTCGAAGCCAAGGGAGCACACTCCTTTGCTGTGGGAAGGATGGGCCCAGTGACCCACAAGCATTTTCTGCCCCAAGTGCCTGCATGGGTGATATGCTGGTTTAAACCAGCCAGTGCTTTTTTGGTGGCGATATACTGACCGGCATTATTAAGCAGCTGGCTGATGCCTGGAACGGTGTTGTGTGGGAGGGGCTGCTGTAGAAGTGAGGCAGCAGAAGGGTCATATCCATTCTGCATGGGTTGGGTCTCTGCTTGGGTTTGGGTCACCCACTGGCCAACTGATTGGTGATAGTTCTCCACTGGTCCATTTGCTGCTCTGCTCCCGGGCTGGTGGTAGCCGTCTTGGCCAAGGTGATGGTTTGGATAGCCATGGCTGTCTTCATACGGAGCTTCCTCTGCTGGGGGAAAAAAATCTCAGCGTTACTCAACTTGGTGAAGCACGCTAGTGAGACAACTCAACAGCTGTGGCGCGGGGGCTCTCGCCTTTTGGAAATGCTGCAAGACAAAGCTTTGCCATTGCAATGCCCTTGCAGTACTGACCACACCCTACGCTTCCCAATCTTGCTTTCAGGAATCCCAACCCGGAGAAGAGATGGATTCCATTGCTATTGGCTGACCCGTACTTTGGAGGGCTCAACCCCCACAGTGGTACCACACTCAAGGTGGGCGGGTGTGGGGCCCTTGCAGCCCATTGCTAGCTCAGGTCTGGGCTCGGTGTAGGCAGGGTGAATGACCCCGGGCGTGTGTCTTAGTTTTAGAGAAGTGGTGCCAGAGCATCCCAGCCAGCTGATACAGAGAGGGCGAGGAGGTCCCAAGCAATAATTTGGTGCTCTAGCCACTGCTGAGCCAGGCATGAACCCTACTCAGAAGGACTCCCACGGCATCCCTAACCCATCTTGCTCCAAAACCATCATGCACAACCCCCCCCAAATCCCCCTTTCCCCTACTGGCCACTATTTGCCTTCTGATTTTGAGCCTCTGGAATTCATGGTTTCAAGACTTTCCCT